GGCCGACGCCATTGTTCTCAGCCGGGACAGGCTGGAAATGGGAAAAATAGGGGAAAAAAGGAAAAAAACTACCCAAAAATAAGACATTTCAGCCGCAGAGGAGGGGGAGGGGGTAGACCTCCCGCCAAAGTGGGGAAAAAGTGTGATTTCACCTCAAATCCGGCTCGGACGGATGGACAAACCAGGGCTGGACTCCAGCTGCTCTGGGGAAAAACCTTAAAAACCAAAAAAGTGCTGCTCTGGGGAGAAAAGGATTTTAAAAAATCGCTATTAATTGTGGGGGGGATAGGAAAAATTTAAAAAAATGGGAATTAGGACTGTTCCGGGAAGAAAAAAGTATAAAAAAATTGGTATTAGTGCTGCGTCGGGGGAAAAAAAAGGTGAAAAAATGAGTATTAGTGTTGTTTTGGGGAGAAAAAAGTTGAAAGAAGTTAATTTGGGGCTGATTTGGGGGCGTCCGCACAGCCCCACGTGGAACATTCGCGGGATCGGGGCTGTGGAGAGAAAAAAAGACTCGAAGAATTGCCCAAAAAGCCAAGAAAAAGCCAAAAGAAATGAAGAGGGGGGTGGGGGGGCTGGAAAACCAGATTTGCCCGTTTTTGAGGGGTTTTGGAGGAAAAAAAGGGGGGGCTAAAAATCCTCATTGACCCATTTCTGAGCTTTTCCAGAAAAGAGGGAGCCCTTAAAAAAAATTTTTAAAAAATCTCAATTTACCCATTTCTGAGCATTTTACAAAGTTCTAAAATCCCAATTTCTGAGCATTTTTTGGGGGGGGTCTAAAACCCAAATGTAGCCATTTTTGAGGTTTTTTTCAATAAAGAGAGGGCGCTAAAATCCCAATTTTCCTCTTTCTGGGCATTTTGGGGAGCAAAGAGAAGGTTCTAAAATGCAGAATTGACCCATTTCTAAGCTTTTCCGGAAAAAGAAGGGGGCTCTAAAAACCAAATTTGCCCATTTCTGAGCATTTTGGGGAGCTCTTAAAAAATCCACATTTCCCCAATTCTGAGCAATTTTTTGAGGGGGGGGGGGGAATCCAAATTTACCCAATTCTTGAGTGTTTTCAAAGTGAGTGGATTCACTTTAAGGCCAAAACTGCTTTTTCAATCAAAGTGGCCACTTTGGGCTACGAAAAGCCCTTTTTTCCCCCCCCATGAGGCCAAAGGAAGAAAAGTGAAAAAAAACCACGTTTCAGAAAGGCAAAAAACTATCATTTTGCCCAGAAATGGTGAATTTTAGGTCCTCACCTCAGGGAAAACCACCAGAAAAGGTGTTTGAAGCCCCAAACTGTCCCTGCGTCGATGAACCGGGGGTCGGGGCCGCGCCGGGGCTCCCCGAGGAGGAAAATGGGTATTTTTTTTGTGCTAAATCCTCTTTTTGCCCATTTCTCACGTTTTTTGCTGCCGGCGCGGAGCCCCCGAGGGAGGAATTCCGGGCTGCGGTGACCCCCACCCCATGGGGGGTAGTTTGGAGGGTGCAAACCTGCCCCAAAACCATCGGAAATTTGGGGTGACGGCGCAGCCGAGCCAACCCCGAGCAACGGCGCCTCGAGAAATACAAAGAAATGACAATAAAAGACAATAAAAGACAATAAAATACAATCAAACCCACTAAAAGACAATAAACCACGCGGGAAGTGTCCCTTGGGGCCGGGGGTGCGTCAAGCGGTGGTGAGGGGTCCTGGGGACGTGGGGTCTGTCCTGGAGGGGGGGTTGTGGGGACATGGGTGACCCCCAACACCCCACCATGGGGTGCAACAACCGCTCCGGGTCCCAACAGCACCCATCACCCCCTGCCATGGGGTGCAACAACCGCTCCGGGTCCCATCAGGCACCCAACAGCACCCATCAGACCCCTACCATGGGGTGCAACAATCGCTCCGGGTCCCAACAGCACCCATCACCCCCTGCCATGGGGTGCAACAACCGCGCCGGGTCCCATCAGGCACCCAACAGCACCCATCACCACCCATCACAGGGTGCACAACCACCCTGAGTCCCATCAGGCACCCAACAGCACCCATCACCACCCATCACAGGGTGCACAACCACCCTGAGTCCCATCAGGCACCCAACAGCACCCATCACCACCCATCACAGGGTGCACAACCACCCTGAGTCCCATCAGGCACCCAACAGCACCCATCACCACCCATCACAGGGTGCACAACCACCCTGAGTCCCATCAGGCACCCAACAGCACCCATCACCACCCATCACAGGGTGCACAACCACCCTGAGTCCCATCAGGCACCCAACAGCACCCATCACCACCCATCACAGGGTGCACAACCACCCTGAGTCCCATCAGGCACCCAACAGCACCCATCACCACCCATCACAGGGTGCACAACCACCCTGAGTCCCATCAGGCACCCAACAGCACCCATCACCACCCATCACAGGGTGCACAACCACCCTGAGTCCCATCAGGCACCCAACAGCACCCATCACCACCCATCACAGGGTGCACAACCACCCTGAGTCCCATCAGGCACCCAACAGCACCCATCACCACCCATCACAGGGTGCACAACCACCCTGAGTCCCATCAGGCACCCAACAGCACCCATCACCACCCATCACAGGGTGCACAACCACCCTGAGTCCCATCAGGCACCCAACAGCACCCATCACCACCCATCACAGGGTGCACAACCACCCTGAGTCCCATCAGGCACCCAACAGCACCCATCACCACCCATCACAGGGTGCACAACCACCCTGAGTCCCATCAGGCACCCAACAGCACCCATCACCACCCATCACAGGGTGCACAACCACCCTGAGTCCCATCAGGCACCCAACAGCACCCATCACCACCCATCACAGGGTGCACAACCACCCTGAGTCCCATCAGGCACCCAACAGCACCCATCACCACCCATCACAGGGTGCACAACCACCCTGAGTCCCATCAGGCACCCAACAGCACCCATCACCACCCATCACAGGGTGCACAACCACCCTGAGTCCCATCAGGCACCCAACAGCACCCATCACCACCCATCACAGGGTGCACAACCACCCTGAGTCCCATCAGGCACCCAACAGCACCCATCACCACCCATCACAGGGTGCACAACCACCCTGAGTCCCATCAGGCACCCAACAGCACCCATCACCACCCATCACAGGGTGCACAACCACCCTGAGTCCCATCAGGCACCCAACAGCACCCATCACCACCCATCACAGGGTGCACAACCACCCTGAGTCCCATCAGGCACCCAACAGCACCCATCACCACCCATCACAGGGTGCACAACCACCCTGAGTCCCATCAGGCACCCAACAGCACCCATCACCACCCATCACAGGGTGCACAACCACCCTGAGTCCCATCAGGCACCCAACAGCACCCATCACCACCCATCACAGGGTGCACAACCACCCTGAGTCCCATCAGGCACCCAACAGCACCCATCACCACCCATCACAGGGTGCACAACCACCCTGAGTCCCATCAGGCACCCAACAGCACCCATCACCACCCATCACAGGGTGCACAACCACCCTGAGTCCCATCAGGCACCCAACAGCACCCATCACCACCCATCACAGGGTGCACAACCACCCTGAGTCCCATCAGGCACCCAACAGCACCCATCACCACCCATCACAGGGTGCACAACCACCCTGAGTCCCATCAGGCACCCAACAGCACCCATCACCACCCATCACAGGGTGCACAACCACCCTGAGTCCCATCAGGCACCCAACAGCACCCATCACCACCCATCACAGGGTGCACAACCACCCTGAGTCCCATCAGGCACCCAACAGCACCCATCACCACCCATCACAGGGTGCACAACCACCCTGAGTCCCATCAGGCACCCAACAGCACCCATCACCACCCATCACAGGGTGCACAACCACCCTGAGTCCCATCAGGCACCCAACAGCACCCATCACCACCCATCACAGGGTGCACAACCACCCTGAGTCCCATCAGGCACCCAACAGCACCCATCACCACCCATCACAGGGTGCACAACCAC